ACCCCGAGCCTGCCGCGGACGCCCACTGCCGCCGCCGGCGGGATCCGGGCCACGCTGACACCCACCGTGCTCGCCCCGCGTCTGCCGCAGCCGCCGCAGAACCCGACTAACATCCAGAACTTCCAGCTGCCCCCAGGTGAGTGGACGCACCGGGCGGGAGGGGAAGGGCGTGCCCGGCGGCTCCGGCTTCCAGTTCCAGGAAGTTCTGGGCCTGGCGGGACGCTCGGGTCATCTATCCCGCAGAGCTCTACGGCCGGAGCAGGCCGAGGGGCAGCCTTTGCCCAGGGGCGGCCGGGTCGGAGCTGACTGGCTGGCGAGGGAGTGAGGAGCGAGTGGCCGCGCGGTGCATGGGCGACTCGCGGGTTGGCGGCCCCGTGCCGCTCCGGATTCACCGTCCTGGTGGTGGTCTGCCTGTCAGAGTTGCTCTGCCACACCCCTAGTTAGGTGGTGCTCTTCTGTAGCGGCCCTGTGTGCCCCTGCCCTGGCGGAAGGCACAGTAGCAGGCGCTCGGGGACCAGGTATTGGGTTATGCAGAGTTTAGGGACATAGATGGGTCTGATGGTCTTCTCCTCCCTGGTGTCTGCAGTTGGGCATGTGGTCTGTGTCCTCTCTTGATTCTCCTGTTCCTTCATTATTTTGGGCTAGGGTGGTGGGCTAGAGACCTCCTCTTCTATGGGTGAGGTCAGGGCGGGGTGACGCCCCCTCCTTGAGGCTGGGAAAGTCTGGATGGAAGGCTCAGGCTTCCCTGCTGCTAGCAGGAGGGCAGAGATCTCAGGCGCCCAGCCTTCCCGGCTGTGCCCTTGCCTGAAAACCGTGCTCTGGAGCCGTGCTTCAGCACTTAGTGTGGCAGTATTGTTCAGCATGGTGTTGTTGCCCTCTCAGGCAGTGCGGTGGTCTGTGGACGGTGCGGGCTGTGCCCAGGGACACAGGAGCCCAGCACATTCACAGCAGAAGCTTTGGGCTCAGAAACTGCCTCAGCCTTGCAGTTTTCACGCTGCGTCTGTTACCTCTGCGGTTCCGTGTGGTCCCTCAAGTTTGACAGTAAGAGTCCTTGCCCGGCATCTCACACCAGGATGCTTTTGTTTGGGGATCCTTAGACAGGGGGAATGCTGGCACTTGAACCTCCGGTGCCCTTTGCTGGCCCCTCCACCAAGCCTTCCCAACGAGAGTTCTGTGCTTCTGGAGCGCTCCTCCCGGGTAGGTAGTAACACGTGCTGTGCAGTTGGTTGTAGCAGCGGCATGTGGTGGCAGCAGTAGTGGAGATGGTGAGGAAAACCCTGGGCCCTTCCGTGGCCCCTCCTGTTTTCAGAAGAGAGCCACTGGTCACTTTGAAAGAGTTGCTGCATCTTAAGTAGTGAAAAGTTTTCCTGTTAAAGTGCATGAGGTTCAGGGCTGGTGGTCAGCTTCTGACAGGGATGTTTTACAGGGCAGGAAAGGGACAGAGAAAGTGTTGCAGCCAGAGAAAGTGTTGCTGGGGTGGCAGTGAGGGCTGATGTGCTCTGAGGAGGAAAAGAGGACTTGAAATGAGCTACCGAGGAAGGGCTGAGATGTCCCTTATGACAAACTTTGGGGGTTCCGAGGGGTTTGTCGAAGTGTTATATTGAAGGCTCTGCTGTGGTTAGTAGGTGTATTCTGACCTGTTAGTGGGGAACGTGGGTGATCTTTAGTAATGTTTTAACAAGGCTATTCATGGTGGAAGGCTATGATGTCAAACGTCACGATACTTTCTGTTTAAAAGAATGTCATTCCAGTGGTCCCACCTGTCTCAGCATGTGCCTTCCTGAGAGCAAGGACATCCCTACATGCCCGTCCATCACTTCAAGTTGGTGGGAGCTTTGCTGTGAGTGAGGCTGCTGAGGCCGGGCACCTATGGCCTCTCTTGCAGCTGTCTGACTGTAGCGATTTGGGGTCAGCTGGATTCCCTTGCTCTGAGCCTCTGCTGGAGTGAATCCCTATCCCTCTTTTTCTCTCGGGGAGGATGAGGAGGAGGAGGAGGAAGACATGGTTCTCAAAGGGTATCTCTGCTGTCTTAGTCCCGAGTGGTCCCAAGACTCAGTTCTGTCGTCTGCTTTTTTTTTTTTTTTTTTTTTAAAGATGACCGGTGAGGGGATCTTCACCCTTGGTGTTGTCAGCACCACGCTCTCCCAAGTGAGCCAACCGGCCATCCCTATATAGGGATCCGAACCCGTGGCCTTGGTGTTATCAGCACCACACTTTCCTGAGTGAGCCACAGGCCAGTTCCCCTTCTTCTGCTTTGTGGTCAGTTTCAGGATGAGTGTATTTGACCAGGACACAGCTTCTTGACATGCAGTCTGTGAAAGCGTTGGCTCTTTGTGTGCATCCTCCTGTGTCTTACTTTAGTCCTGTAGACTTGAGAGCAGAGGACAGCTCACGTTGACGTTTGGGTGACGCTGAGAGCTGCACTTACTTTTAAGGGGCCAAATGCTATCTAGAAAACAGAAGATCTACATCCATCTCTTCAGGACTCCTTCGGTTGATCTACTGATTAGGAACTCTGATTAATTATGTTTAGTAACAGCCAAAGCCAAAAAATGCTAGTTAAAACCGCTACCAATGCCCCAAGCCAAAAGATCCTCTTTAAACAGGCTAATTTTGTAAATCAAAATAACAGGTTATAAATATTATAGTTACATCATATAATTGATCAGAAAATATTAAATTCTTCTAGTTGATGTTTCTCTTTGAAATATTTTTTAATAAAAATGTAGAGAACAAAGGTGGAAGTAACTTGTAAAAATAACTTTTGTTTTGCTAATAACTCTTGTTACAACTCAGTGATACAGAGTGGGGAAGAGCTGGGAGGTATTGGGAAGGGCAGGGTTTTCAGAGCTACATGTAGGTGTCAAGTGGAATAACAGATTGTTGGCAATGAGAGTCAAGTGTGAAAGGGCTTGCCTCCCCCCCATCTTCCTTTCTCAGGGGCACAGGCAGGAGCGGGAGGGACAGAAGCTGCACCCTGAAGTCCGGAGGACAGGTCTTAAGCCTTGAATGAGTTTAGTATGTGCAGCTCATTGACAGCTTTTCATAAACTCATGTTAAATTTAGTTTTAGCAAACTCAGTCTTGATATTCTTTGTCAGGACGATTTTCGAAAGACACATATATGTTATTGTAATTGTGATTTGCTTGTTTGAAGGTGCCAGAGTCTAAGTTTTATCCACTGTGAGAAAACGAAAGAACATGGGACATCTTTAGAGAGATTGTTGCAGCCAGTACAGCTGTCCCAAGTACACTGAGGAGTGCCGGTTAGTCATGTACAGTTTAAGATAGTCATAACATCAAAATAATATTGCGATTATAGTCGAAAGAAGAAAGAAGTGATAATGATGTCAAATTAGCATGTATGTAAACTGGTTAGGAAGATCTTTTCAGGTAGGTGTTATGTATTTGGCCTGGCAAATTAGCATTTTCTTTAGCATACCTCTGTTTATTCTGCTTTTGTGTGGAATGTACTCTCCTGTGGCTCTAAAATTTGGTCAAAGTGTAGATTCCTCCTATTCCAGGACAGAAACCATTTCCTCGCCATTGGCCTGGATACCTTGGCCTGTGGAACATTTGAATGTTACTTATTTTAAAACGATACTGCCAAGGTTAATGTGTGTGGAAGAACAGATGTCTAAGGCATTGGTTCCCATCCATGGTGAATTGTATTATTTGTTGGTGGGGAAAGGGAAAAAGAAGTCCACTGACTGTACTGTTTGAACCAGGGTTGAGTTTGGTGAGGTTTAGTCCCAGGCTGGACTCCAGAGTGCAGAGGGACCGTTACTGAAGTCAACTGGAAAGCCACTGAAGGGAACTGGAAATTCTGGTGACCGACTTTGGCAGCAGGAGCTTTGGCACAAGGGCTATTCTTAGAAGTTTAGATTTTGTCACTTGAGGGCACTGTTGCAGTTTGGCCTGTGATGGAGTATATCATTCCTTGGAGCCTCAGTTTCCCCATGAGAAATTTACTGAAGTTGTCACAGGGGGGTCGCTCTTGGAGGGCTGCTGTCCACCTGCTGACATGGGGGAGGGGTGCAGCTGCCTGCAGAGAGTGAACAGACTTGGACGGGAGGCTCGCTTTAGGCCAAAGGCCTTAACCCAGTTTTCCTCTGACATACTCAGGTAACAGTGACATTTTAAAAGAACAAAGAAAAATAACTTTTTGGGAGCCATGCAAGGACAGCACTGGATAGCTGTGCTTAGCGTAGGACAAAGGTAGTTCCTCTGTGTGTTTCCCTTCAGCACCGCCAGGTTGGAGGGAAGCCCTGGGAGGGTGACAGGTAGTTACTCCGTGCCCCGCTGCTTGGGCTTCCCTCCTGGTGGGTCACTGTCATTTCTGGGATGAACAGAGCCATCTTGGGCACTGTGGTGGGGTGGGTGTCTCATGTGTCTGTGGGTGTCTCTTGGAGCTGGTGACCCTCACATTTTAGCAACAGCCAGGAAAGGGGTTTCTGTGGACACTCCTGGGAGCTTCTGGTCTCGCTGCTGCTGTGCTCGTAGTCTGCATTTATGGCCAAAGTATCTGAGTTTGAGAAGAAAATGATTTCTAAGTTCTTTATGTTTACCATGTGAGGGGTGGAGCCCTATTTGTCAGGACCTCGTAAGGACACCACTTAGGAACGTGGCATCCTGGCTTACATGGGTGGTTGATGAACCTGAGGGAGGGCCAGAGAGCCATAGGAAGCTGGCCCTTCTCTGAGGGTGGATAGCAAAGCCACCCTGGCTCCCACAGTTGCTCTGACACCAGCTGGTGACAACATTGGATTTCCTGGGCTTTCAGTTGTGCCCCTTAAACATCTGTATGGGGTGTTCAGAAGGTGGTGTTTATCAGAACGGTACTGACCCAGTTCAGAATGCCCTGGAAATGCAGCCGCTCAGCAGGACGGCTGCGGGGCATGCCTCTGCTTCCTTGAAGTCAAAAGAAGATTGGAGTATTCTTGGTATGCTTCCAGAGCCTGCTTCAGTGAGTAAATGTAAGCTTTCCTCCATTTAAGTGATACATTTGAAGGAAGCTTTTATAAATAGCTGGTTATATATGAGTTGATCAAAATAATTAACAAATGTTTTTGAAAATTTGAAGGAGAGATTGAAAAGGACTCTGGAGAAACTTGCCTGAGATTTGGGGTAATTTACA